ATTAAATATTAAAAAAATTTGATTCCATGTTCATTCCTAGGAGTCAGCTAAAGATACATCCACTTGTAAAACAAAACTAGGAAGTATTTCTTAGTCTTTCTAATACTATGAAAGATAAATGAACAAAAGATTTTCCAAGATGCTAATACCACTAAGCTTATCTTTAAAGTAACCCCCAAAGATGCCCTCACCCTCTTCCTATCCTCACCCTGACTCCCAATCTTGAAAGAAGACATTGCTAGAAATAAGAAAGCATCTTTGAGAGGAGGAAGTTTAATCTTAACACTAAATACCAGCATATGCAGTAGCCTAAACAGCCACATGCCACCTTCTCTGTGACTGTCTTCACCACTGACTATCAAACTACGCAGTCAGGTGTTCACAAGACTAGCTTTCCTTCTCAACTGCGGCTTCCGACACCTTTATCATCATGGTGACCAACGTAGAACTATGTCCCATGGGGCTCTTCAAGTCCTAGCACCGTGGCTAGTACATTAGAGATAGTCTTTATTCAATTACCACAACAACACTGAGATAGTAAAACCCTTTCTCAACTGCTCAAGGTTTCTATACCAGGTGTTGTAAGGTCATGTAGGGCAGGGGTATAATAGTTGCCTCCCCTTCCCTAGAAGGTGTTATAGTCTTCTGAATAGAGTTGAAATTCCTTCAGAGAAATACTGAAAGGTCTCTTGCCTAACTCAGGATCTCCACTGAACAGCCATATACTGACTTGCATATATCTATGGCCAATAAGAGTCATAAATCGGTATAGGGTACGAAAAAGTTTAGCCTTACTGTCAAAACACTGAGTTGTTTCATGACTTTGAGAAGTCAGTGAGTATTTTATCTGCTTCAAAGGTCTGTAAATTTGCACAGAGTGGTGCCTTGTTTAATACAATCTATAATTGTCTGTACATGGACCAAGACTGCCATGCCACACTGCATCTCAACTGTGAACACAGACCAGTAGAGAATGAAGTCATCTAGCTATGATGAGAAAATAATCTGTGAAATTGTTCTGAGCTGGCACTAGTCATCCAAATACAAAATTTTAGAGCAAAGTAAATGGATTCTGCCCTCACACCTCCAGAAGGTAGAGACACAGGACAAGCACTTCAACAATGAACATTTAAAACAGACAGTATCATTAAGACCGTAAGTACATTTTGGAATGTATTATTTTTTCTTGATAAGTCTATCATGTAGATCTGTAATTAGGCACTTCTAAAATAGCTAACTTTTTTTAAAAACACAATATGCTGTAATTGTCTATTAAGTCAATGAGTACTTAGGGACTCTTTAAAACTGCTGATTGCTTTCTTGCTGTATTTTGAAAGAACAAGTACTGAAGAGTCCTTACGAAATTCTCTCAGAATGAAATTGAAAATGTACTGTTACCTGGCTAAGTTAACAACATTTCTTCATGGAAATGACATACATATATCATCATATTTATTGTTCCATAAGTGGACTATAATTACATAAACTCTCATTTTGTAATCTAAGTGAATTCCCGTCTCTGACTAAATAAAACTTTTCTAATTCCATACAGTTTCGATGCTCATTAAAGAGAGCTTTATTAATCATTCATTTCTTAATGTAGATTAAGTATTTTATCTCAGTTAACAGCATAAACAATGTACCAGTCCATA